AGATCGATAAATCGATTGACTGAGTTCTCATCCGAGGCCCAGGCTTCAATCATTTCGCGGCCTGTTTTACTGCCGGCGAGCGCGATTACCCTCGCAGCTGCGAAATTAAATTCGTGACCGGTCTCGTAGGTATGAGTGATCGCAACGCCTTCTACTTCTCTACCTACACACATACCTGGGATGCGAACATTTGCCGCAACTCGTGGTATTTAATACGTTGCACTACCTATTTTATATCTGTTCTAGACAAGTGCGCAGGGAAGATGATTTTACTACATGCTTCTCTAGCTAGTTTACTGATCATTTAGCCAGCTGACGTGCACCTTAATTTCTGTGTGGTTAGCCATTCCGTAAACGGCGATTAGATGACTGGGAAGAAGATTATTGCAGTGGTAAAAATAGTCGATTAAGTACTTAAACGTATCTGGTAGGCAAGCTGCAAGGCAGCTCAAGCTGCCTTTCCTCTACATCGTAATATAGAAACAAAATCCGCTATGAACTGTAGCTTGGTAAAAGGACCTACGGTGGTAAGAAGTTGACTCTGCATTTAAAAGCATGAGCACAAGTGCAAGATCTGTATAGTCATGAGAAAATTGTTCTGACGGTCCAAGCGAAATGTTCCTTGAGGTGGCAAACTTGTGGCACTACCTACATACGGACAGTGGAGTAATAGGCTAGGCCTTGTTACCAATTTTCCGCCTTGAAAATAAGGTTTGCGTATTTTTACCTATTATTTTGGCTCGTGATTTTCATGTAGTGTGCTTAAATGCAATGACACAAATTAGAGAAAGAAATAATAAATTCGAAAGAGGTATATGCCCAATCATTTAAAGAGAGTAATTTCAAATACCGTTTTGTATTTGATCCAGGTTTCTCAATGGAAGTGATCCTTCCTGATTTAGTTATCGGATGCATCTGAGCATCCTCACTATTCAAAAAGCCAATTATTGAAAAACAAAATTTAAAACGTCACTCTTCATGAAAATCAAAGCAGCGATTAGGATTTCAGTACCCTGATAAAATGCCGGTAGCCTTAGGCCAAGGGTAAAGTTTACGAAACAAAACTACACACTCGGTTACCAATAATGTGGTAAGAAGCCTGCTGACATAAGTTTCCTTGCAGGTCAATTATGTAAATAACAGCAGAAAACGCTTTACTGAAAAGGTGCGCGCGATAACTGGCTCTGGCATTGGTAAGTAAAGTTCTCTAGAACGTACTCCGATAGGGGCCCGAATGCGTTGAAGAATTTCACTAAAGAGGATGAGGTGGAAAAAGTGGAAACCTCCGAACACATCTCTCTGCCGGGCAGCGAAGTTCTGTGCGTACAATGGATGTAAACCAAAATCACAGCGAAAAATTCTCGCCGGGAATTTTTTTCCTTTATAGTTTCACCGATGCGCCTTACGGTACGATAACAAAGACCATCAACAGAAAACCGCTGAAACAATTTTTGAGTTTTTAGCTAGTATCTTAAATTGGTATATGGTTGTTCTACTTCTTACACATAAGTTAGACTGCCCGTGAATTTGCATGCCTTTGCATCCAGCATAATGTTAATGCCACAAAATAAAGCCATTGCTAAGAATATCTGCCTGTGTTTTATGGCGCGAGTCAGCGCTGATCGACATTAAGAAAAGCATTAAGACATTGCCAAACGTTCGTCCTTACGACTGATCCATTACACATATGGGAAATTTGCAGGTGTTAGGCTGAAGATTCAAACCACATTAACCAACATGAATAAAAAAGGCAAAGATCACGATAGTAGCGGGGATCGTAATACTGTGAGTAAAGTCACAGCCATAACAATTACACGAGATTAGCAGGATTTATTGATGTCATGTCAGTTCGCGACCTCTTATTCAACAGCAAACGGTCATTGCCTATTAATAAGATAATTAACTGTCCAATTAAGTGTCGGCCTAAAAAGGGTGAAAAATTGATAGGTTAAGAGAGTAGAAGCTATTAGTCTTAGATGTGGGCGCATAGTGAGGAGTTAGAGGAGGTAGATGTTTGCCTTGTTCAAATTTCTTCCGAAAAAAAAACAGTCTCAACATGAATGACCTTATCCCAAATCGAACTCACTGACTTTTTGCTGACATTGAAAATGGGATAGGGAGACGTCGGTTTGGCTCGGATCTAGTTTTCCTCACTACCAAACCTGCTGTTAAACAAACCCGGCACGATAAAAGTCGGGGCAAGGAGCCTTCTAAATGACGGAAGAAGCCGATCTGCACAAACCTCAGATCCAGTTATCATAAGCAATCTAATGTGACCTGTTTAATGCTCACTCGTTTAAATTCCGAAGCCCCTCATAGAGGATTGAATCTTAAGAAGTTAAGGACCGCCACGTTTCATATATGCAGACGTGGTTTTCGTCCTTTCAGCCACTTGACCCGCATTCATTGAAATCACGTTGACTCTGACGTATCATTGGACCCCAGCGAGTATGGCAGCGTGTATAAATTAGATGTGAACTACTTCTATTTCATTAAATAAATCGTACACTCATTCTTGCTAAGCCTAATCAGAAAGAGAGGTCTTCATTGCTCGCGGTTGATGAGCATATTCTTTTGTAGAGCGTTTTAACGCGATTTTCTTGGCTCCTATGCACAGGTTGGCTCTCTGTCTAGTCGCTTTTAACCCATACTACTAATACAGGCTGGAAACTGTCCTGGGCTATTTACTGTTACTCCAAATTCTAGAAAAATGACCGAATAACTAATTTATGATTCAAGGTAGAAGCTACAAAACTATTTAAGGGTTCCGGTGACTCAAAAACGCAAGTTAAGTCAAAAAATGATAGACAACACTGGGGCTGACAAAAACAAACTAACGTAAACAAGTTTTGGGGAGTGAGAAAAAGTCACTTTAAAGTTAGATTTCATGTCTAATCACTTACTTTGCAACCCTTCAGAACGACCATTTGTCTGTTAATTACGTTTTGCCACATTCGCTTCGTCTGTCGGCTTCCTGACTGCAGGGACTATACATTAGTTAGTTTTTTTATACCTTGCATCTCTATAAGCACAAGATAAGGACGTTGTAGAGTCATCCTTGCAACGCTTTAGGGCTAAAAACTCACTGCTAGTGTCAGATGGATTTACAGTTCAGCAGCCTGATTTCCTATATGTCAGAAAGTGTATTTCTCCTAATTAGGAGACATGACGACAGACGAAGCGAATGTGGGAAAAAGTAATTAACAGACAAATGGTCGTTCTGAAGGGTTGCAAAGTAAGTGATTAGACATGAAATCATACTAAAAGCGGAAGATTATCAATACTTACTTACGAAGACAAATAGGAAAGAAGTAGCAGCAAAATAAGCAAGTGATCATTATACAAAGCCAGCTAAAAATAAGTGCATTTAGCATGCTCAAAATTATTTCTTCGAAAAAGCAAAATAACTATCGCCAAATCTGAAACATGGCTTCACCTCGAGCGGCGGTCAGGACCGTAAGTACAGTGCTTAATGACTTACCTTTCCTCCTATCCTACCCGAGCGTGCCATGTTAACAAGCATATTTTCTACGGCCTTAGCTTTATCGGGCTTCGTCATTGCCAATGTATTTACTAAAAAGTATCAAAGTAATGGATGGAGTATACAGCGAGCTCGGGCGTTCTGATCAAGTATTCTGCTTAATATGTCATTTGTCATCTCCTTCTGCCTTTTCTCAATTTCCGCTTTTTGAGCTTCCTGTTGAGCTTGTGCCTTGCAAAATAAATAATAAATAAAAGCGGACACACATTAGCATCCCCACAATCATTCATCACGGGCATCATCCCGCCAACTGTGAGATGAAAGGCTAACTAATCTTGGTATCAGTGGGTGCGCTCGATGATTCAGATGCTACTCCAAGTTCAAATTTCAATCAACGATTTATCCAGTCTCCCGGTTCATTTGATGCCT